TAAGCTGACGGGCGTGCTGGGACTCCACACTGAAATAGGGATACGCATGACCCCAGGCTGCTGTATAAAAAGAGAAACAGCCCCAAGGGGCGGGGATCAGGGAAAGCCCCGGATGACAGCTGCCAAGGGGAACCATCTGCTCCAGTGAGCCAGGGCAGGGAAAAGGGCAGGGCTGCTTCTAAAGCTGGGTCTCCATGCTAACTAGGCACACTTAATTCTGTACCTGGGTCTCGATTACAGCCTGTTTCTGATTATTTTAACGTAGCTGCAGAGATGAGAACTTTTCAAAAACAGACAAATACGATCTCCCAATTTTAAAGGGACATCAATAACAGATGCTCCTTTTACAGCAGCATTTCGCACAGTTTCAGAGCCCCTAGCCCCCAACATTCTCTGATGGCATTAACCCTGTTTGCTCCTTCACTTCCTAGGTCAGTGACTTTATCAAAGGCAAGGCAAGGTGGGTGAACATAGGTACTCAGGAGCTAACACTGGACAGATGCAGCAGGAAGAGGGTATTTCATATTAAAAAAGCACTCGGCATCTAAATGGATCAACACGTTTTAGAGCAGGTAAATGAACAGGGGTGGTCACACAACAGGACACTGCTGCACTGAGAAGGGACAATCGACCACGACACACAGCAACTGGGGCGAGTCTCTGATCATAATGTGGAGTGAAAAGACCCAGGCACACAGGAGACCCTGCCTTCTGACTCATTTACACAAAGTTCAAGGGCGAGCAGACCTGCAGTGTTGGAAGTTGGGAGAGTGGCAATGTACGGACTGGAGGGATATGGCAATTATTATTTTTATTTTTATTTTTATTCTGGGTACAGGCTACGTGAGTGTGTTGATGGCTAGAAAATCAAGGTACACTTATAGTTAGGAACATAAATACAGTCAACCAAGAGAACCCTGCTTCTAAAAGCTTCGATTCAGAAAGAGAGCAACTCAGAATCTGGCTTTCAGGAACAAAGATTCCTAGCGCTATCAAACTTAGAAAGCTACACTGTCTCCTCAGCCAAGCTCTGAAACAAAGCCCCTTTGAGACAGCAGCGAGACCTTCCTGGGTTTTCACAGTAGATAAAGCCAGGCTTGGCAGCGCCTTCTCAGTGAGTGCAAATGGAAATAGGAGACTGTTTCTCCAGAGAACCAACCTCTTCTGAAAATTACACCCTGTTTTTCTTTTATGCACATCTGTAGAACCTCTTCCATTTTTTCCTCAAATCTACAGTCTGCTCACAACTCCCTTTATCTAATGAGGTCTTTCTCAACCTTCTTTTTCAGTCTTTTAAGGGATTTTTTCTAATAGCCTCCATGAATTATTAACACCACATATATTCTGTTTATCTATGCATGTACTATATGCATAGCGTGTTTTAATCATAACAAGCAAAATTCTTTCCATATCCCAAGAAGCAATTCCACTCCCTTGGGGGAAATATTGGTATCCCTAAAAATGATGATCTAAGATAACCATAAAATTTAATCTCCAAAAGAAGAAAAGATGGTGTTATTGATATGTATAAAGAGGCAGGTGTAAGCGAGAACTGTCCTGAAGGTTGGTCCCCCAACCCTTGTTTATAGCAGCTGTGGGGGCGGGGGCTGCTGCCAGGCCCTGCAGGAGTTTGTTGAAGGTATGGATTCCCAGGTGCAGCTCTCAGATTTTAGCTGAGCAGGTCTGGGGTGGGGCCAGATACGCATTTCTAGTGAGACACCTTCCCCCTCACCTTTTCCCACGGTGATTTTGATACAGCCAGTGTAACATAGTTGGTAGCCCAGCCCTGGGAAGCCACCCTCATGCACTCCTGGGACCTCAGAAAGTCACAGTAGGGTAAGATCCTGGGACCTTAACATCCACGTATGCAATGTTCTGCCCCCTGCTGTAAGGTCGGCACTGGCTTCTCAATGGACTTGCCCTTGGAGCAGGGGAATGCCCTTGGAGAGGGGAATGGCAATCCCACGGCCTTGATCCTGCCCCACCCACCTCAGGGGTGAGGTGCAGAATGAACGAGGTCAGTCATGTTTCTAACATCCCTCACACTCCCAGCTCTCTGATTTTATGGTTCCCCCACTTCTGGCCCGTGCTGCCTCTAAGGAAATTACCACCACCACCAAGAACAAAAAACTAGTGTGTCCGCTCAGAATGAGCTCATCAGAATAACGCCCCACTTCCCAGGCACTCTGCACAGGTGGTGAGCCACCATCCACAGACCTTTGAGGATTCGCTGATCTTGTAGGGTCGAGACACTCTTGTCTGCCGGCTTCCCTCCATCATAAAAGAGGTCACAGTCCTACAACAAGAACGGGATTTCTGAGCACACAGTGATAGTAACGACTCTAGGTCATTCATTAATTCCGGGCTCTGCTGGACAATAGCAACGACAAGGGTGAAAGCAGTCACACGGAAGACAGAGGGCGAGGAAGCAGTGTACTATCAATATAAGCAACTCTGATGCTGTGAGCGGGCAATATCAGGTTATTAGAATTAGAACATTTAACAAGGGTTCCTTTGGCATCCAAAATCCAACAAAACCATGTCTTTAGCTAAACTACCTCCTACAAATACCTACCTTCTGATGTCTGATCTCACAGAGGCCTTTGGCTAGACCAAGGCTATAATGACAAGAGTTATCATTTCAGGGCCCAGACAATGACCCTGGAACGAAGCTGTGGGGTTTATTTACATGTGCTGTCTCATTTAACCCCCACAACCACTTGGCCAGGCTGATGTCACGTGTCCCATTTTACAGATGAGGTTACTGAGTTAAAGGTCACAAAGCTAGTAAACGGCTGGGAACCAAACCTGAGCCCTTCTTTGTGATGCTCTGCTGAATGTGACCCAGTCTTTGAGAGTGTCATACTTCTAAAATATGAAGTTAAGGATGTGGTGCAGTGATGACACGTAAAACATGTCCTAGACAAAGGTACTGGTTTAAGTGCTTTCTTAAGCACTTAAGAGTGTAGGGTACTGAATCCCGACAACAACCCCATGAGGCCAGCACTATTGTTTCCCTCAGCTTGTGGAGGAGGAAACTGAGAGCAGTGAGGGGAAGTAACTAGACAGCGTCACACAGGAAGGAGCTGGCAGAGTTGGGATTCCAACCCAGAGTGGCTTCCATGCACTTAACCACTAGGCTATTCCACCTGGCCATAAAAAATTGAAAGAAAGACAGAAAGGAAAGAAAGTAAAGAAAAGGAAGGAAGGACGAACAAACGCACGCAAGCCTGCAGGCAGGAAGCCTTCTGGGCCTTTGCCCTGCCTGGAACATTCAGCGTAAACAAGCATGTTAACCTCTCTCAACCTCACGGTCAAGTCTATGAAATGGGCTGGTGTGCCAGGTGATGATAAGGTTTCTGCAAGCTTTGCAATGCCAAGCAACTCACTGACAGCACAGAGCCAGGCTCTGGGGGACTTTGGGGAAAGAGGGGCCACACAGGGGTAGGGCTAGGCCAGCAATGCGGGCACAAGTTACATACTGGGACCCAGGGTTTAAAGAGGATTTCTTCCCCTGCTATCTAGGTTGAGAAGAGTCCATTTGTTACCTACTGAACAAACAGCCTTTGCTAATAAAAAAAAAATGTAACAAAAAGTCACCATTGTTTCAAGATAATTGCTGACACAGGGGCTACAGTGTTCCCAAAAGAGTAACTTCGGGTACAGTCCATGCTGTCCAGCTGCCTGGGGGAAGGAAGAGATTAGACTTCTCCTGACAAATTAGCCACTTTGTGACAATGGCCAGCTACACCCACCCCTGTCCTTTCTGACAGACCCTCAGCAGCCTAGGGGCTCAGAGAGAGAAGGGAAGGAAACCACATTCGCCCCTGACTTCCTGGATTCACCTCCATCCTCTGAGGCGGCTGGCCCCATCATTTCAGACACCTAGGCTCCGGTGGAGGAGGGGCTCACCCAAGGTCAGACCACAGAAAGCTGCAGGTCCCTCTCTCCACCACTCCAGGCAGACAGCCAAGGCTCCGTTCGCCCTGAGTGCTAAAAGCTTTCTTTTCTAGGCCAAGATTTCTAGAGAGAGTTTCCCCTTGTGTAGGTTCCCTTTTGTCTCCGGGCAAGTGGGTTGGGGCCGATTTCTACAAGTGTTGGGTGTCCGCTGCATTCGTGCTTCCTGGAAGCAGACGAGGGGGATCAAGGCCATCCACACGGCCAGCGACGATCCCCAGTTATGCATAAAAGATCTTCTCGTAAACACGGGGACAGAGGGCACGTCCGGACGGGAGGGCCCCCAGGGAACCGCTTCTCTAATCTCTCTGACCCGGGTTTCGACCCTGAACCTGCCCGTCCTCAGCGCTCGGGTAAACACAGCGTTGTGGAGATGGACGCGGCTGCCCGCCAGCACTCACCCGTCACCGGCAGGGTCCCCGGGGACGCTGCTGCGGCTCGTTCGGACCCGGCACCCCCTGGCGGAACTGCCGGCACAACGGCCGCCCAGGCAGGCTCGAGCCGGCTACCAGGAGGCGGAGAAGGCGGAGTCGGGACGCAACCCGGGCCGGCGCCCGCGGCGGGACGCGGGGACACTCACCTGGGCCGCGGGGGGCCGGCCGCGCAGGCCGCACCTGTCCCACCTACGGGGGTGGCGGTGCCCCTCCCCCGGCTCCCCCCGCGCCGCTGCACACCCTCCCCCAGCACAAAGGGAGGCCGCGGGTGGGCCGGACGGGGGTCGCACTCGCGGGGGCTGGGGTCGTCCCCGAGCAGGCCCGCCCCCCGCCCCCCGACGGCGCGCGGCGCCCGGTCGGTCCCGCGCGGGAGGCGCGTTGGCGGAGGCCCACCTGGGAGGCGCGCTACGGGCGCGGCGCCGAGACCCCCGGCGGCGGGGCCGGGCTGGCGGGGTGGCGGGGCGCGGGCACGGGAGCCCCGGGGCCGAACCGGTGCGCAGCCATGGCTCCGCCAGGAAGTGCGAGGCCGAGGGCGGAGGCGCGCGCGGCCAATGGCGGCGGCCGAGAGGAGGTGGGCTCAGGCGGCGCCGAGGCGGGGCCTGCGCCCGGGGCGGGCGGCGGGCGCCGGGCTGTGGGGCTGCTCCCCGCTCGGTCCGCGGCCCCCCGGACTGCCACAGTCACACTGCCTACTCTGTGCCACCCACGGTGCCAGGCGTGGGGACACGGCGTGGACGAGACCAGAAAGGTCCTGGCCCCGGGGAACTGATAGTGTCCAGGAGCGGAGTGCTGGGAAGGGAACGTCGTGATGGCATCTCCGCTCTCACCTGATTTCAGTCTTCGCTGGAAAGTCCCCTGCGTTCGCCCTAGAGTGAGGCCTTTGCTGACCTTTCTATTCAGTCCCATTCTCTCTCTTCACCCTTCTAGCCTTACACCTTACTTTAGCGCCTACCATCACCTAATATTCTAAATCATTTTCTTTTGCCTTGGCTTATTGTCTGTCTCCCCCAGCAGAAACCCTCCAGGGCTGGGTCTCTCTGGCTGGGCTCAGCCAGGGCTGGCTCACGGTAGGCGCTCAGTGAATATTTGTGGAATGAATGAAGTTAACCATCACCAGTCAACCTGTCCTTTTGTGAAACAGCTCCTGCTACAGCATAGATGAGCCTTGAAACAATATGCTTAATGAAAGAAGCCGAATGGATACAAAAGGACACACATGACATGATCCCATGTGTATGAACTGTCCAGAACAGGCAAATCCATAGAGACAGAAAGTGGATTAAGTGGTTGCCAGGGGCTGGGGGGAGAGGGGGCAGGGAATGGGTGTGTGTGTGGCTGTTAAGAATAAGGGATTTCTTTAGAGGGTGATGAAAATGTTCTGAAATTAGACAGTTATTGATTATCACACAACTCTGAATAAACTAAAAACCACTGCATGCTATATGGGACTTCTATCTCGATAAAGCTGTAACAAAACCCAAACCTCTCTCTTCCTGTTTTTCTGTTCCCAGCATCTTTTCAGGGCCACAGAAAGCATGGCTAGATGCAGCCAATGGAGGTGGGCCAGAAAAGAAAAAAAAAAGGTAGGGAGTCAGTGTGACCAGGCACATCCTCAAGGCCTTTCTTTGTTCCTTCTCTTCTAGACACAACACTCAACTTGGCCCCCTCCATCAGATGGGTCCCAGCAAGGTACCACGGAGCCTGTCAGCAGGCTGGCCTGGCACTGTCCCCACCCTGTCCCTAGCACCTCTCACCAAAGGCTGCCGCCGGTGCAAAGCAAGGCTATAAAAAAGATTTGTGTGATGGTGGCAGGACTGTGTGTCTCTAGGATACAGGAGGGGCAGGTTGGCCAGGGGTAAGTTCCATCAATTTCTTCTGAGTGAGCTTTGCCTCTGAGCCTCAGTGGCTTCATCTGTGAGCAGGGCCTTCCCATTCCTAGTTCAGTCTGTTGCCCATCCACATCCTACACCTTTCTGAAAAGTGTTACATTTATGGGATTTTTTTTCTTTTTATGTCTGGGATTTGTACTAAATATTAATTTGTTCAGCCCTGACCAGTGTGGCTCAGTTGGTTGGGTGTCGCCCGAAAAGCGAAGGGTCATCAGTTTGGTTCCTAGTCAGGGCACATGCCAGGGTTGTGGGCCAGATCCCCTGCTGGGGCGTGTGCAAGGGGCAACCAATCAGTGTCTCTCTCACACATCAATGTTTCTATCCCTTTCTTTCACCCTCCCTTCCTTTCTCTCTAAGAATAATTAAATAAAATCCAAAACCAAATTTGTTTAGAAACAAATGTATAGGGGGAAAATGTATATGGGGGAATATATATATATATATATATATATATATATATATATTTTTTTTTTAAATTAAAGGGAGTGAGCCCTGGAATCACCTAGAGGATCTTTGAAATGATGGTGTCACTGCCCCTATCTCCCCACTTTTTAAAAAAGATTTTATTTATTTATATATTTTTAGAGAAAGTGGGAAGGAGGAAGAGAAACATCAGTGTGTGGTTGTCTCTTGCAGGCCCCCCACCGGGGACCTGGCCCACAACCCAGACATGTGCCCTGACTGGGAATCAAACTAGCAACCCTTTGATTTGCAGGCGGGCACCCAATCCACTGCGCCATACCAGCCTGGGCTCTCTCCACTTTTCTACGGGGGCAAATACATGTTCACGCTTCAGTACTTTATTTAGGAATCATCTGTACTCTGAAGCCTTACTTGCCCATCTTTGATCCTTCCTTGACCCCTCTCCACTGCAAACAAATCAAATCCCACATGTTGCTCTATGCCTGTGTCTTGATACACAAATCTCTATTAAATAAATTCATGTACTCCTTCATTTATTAGTTCATTCAGCAGACTTCTAGGGACTTCCTGCTATCTGTCAGGCACGGTGGTAGCTGCCAGGGAGAGGAAGAAGACACTTTCAGGGATCTCTGGGAAGGAGGCAAGCAAGTAAATGAGCAAATTATGGTTGGTCTTGCGTTAGAGTTATATTCAGAGTGTTTGGGTGGGATGTATGCTTTTATAGTTATAGTTAACGATTCCCTAGCAATGGATAGATATAAATGTGAATATATATCTGTATATATGGATCTATCTATATCTATCTGTCTAGAGAGATTTAGCTATAGATATTTTAAGAGCCTATAGCTTGGCATTGATATCTGTCTCCCAGATGTTGGGTTCTTCATGAATGAGAAGATGCACAACCTTGGCGGGAAGCCTGCAGTAAGGGCCTGGGACAAACTGAGGAATCCACACATGACCTTGACCTGAAAAACATGCAGACTTGGCTAACCCGACTTCATCCTGTTTTCCCCAGTACCACTTAGTGAACCACCCTTTCACTTTCTTTTCTTTAATTAGCATTTTCCCTCAAGTTAAAAAAGTAATACATCTTCGGTTGAGAAATACATAAAAATCCAAAAGGAAAAATGAACCATGTAATAAACCATGCAGTTTTGCACTATCCAAAAATAATAATTGGCAATATTGTCGTCTCTTCATCTTTTCCCCTTGTTTACTATGATAACACCTTCATGTAATATGCTAGACTGCTCTAAGCTCCCTGCGCATATTCACTCATTTAATCTCCTTGACCCTTTGAGGAAGGTACTATTAATTTCCCTGTTTACAGATGTGGAAACTGAGGTCCAGAGAAGTTACATCACTTGCCCGAGATCACAGAGCTCATAAAGAGCAGAGCTGGGCTTTGAACCTGGGCAGCTGGCTCCGCATTTTGCTGGCTTCACCTTGCTCTCTGCACTGTGGTGCCTCTGCACAAGGATAAAAGGGATGCACGCTCCATGCAGAGAACTTGGAAAACACAGACATGTTCAAAAGGGAAGAAAAGCACCCACCTGAGGAGACCAGCTGTCATTTAAGTGTAAATCAGCCCAGTATTTTCCCCATGCATATGTATTCTCCATGCATCCATGACAATGAAGTCATGCAGTGTGGGCCTTTTGGTTATTGCTTTTTTATCCTTTTTGCAAATATGAGTTTTTGTCATGTTAATAGGTTCTTTGCTACGATATGATTGTGATAGTGCATCTGACCCCTGGATTTGGTCATGCATTCATCCCCCCTCATCATTGGGCACACAGCTGGTTTCATACCATAAATAATGCCAGGGGAACATTCTTCCACATGCACCTTTGCACACGTGTCTGATGGTGAAGTGGGCTTGTGGGTCTGAGGAATACATATCTGTAAGGCTCTGACCTCCCCCAACCCCCAAAGGCCATACTAGTAGGAACTCCCTGACAGTGGCTTAGTACCCTGTCACTTCTGAGGTTGGGCACCATCAGATAAACCAGGGCCAGCTATAGAATTTGCAGTGTTCAGTACAAAATGAAAATGGAGGTCCCCTTGTTCATAAAGCAGGAAGAAACCTTTTTCCTTTCTTCCACTGTCTCTCTCTCAGCCTGTCATGGTGCATTTTATTTGCTGTTTCATGTCGTGCTCCCTGTGGTATGGGGATGCTTGTGGGACTCGTGCAGACCCTCACAGGCACCTGGGGCCCCAAGCTTTCCTGCACCTGCACCCAGGCCCCCTCTGGGTGACCCTGATCGTAGGGCAGGGACAGAGGCACAACTGGCCAATAACCATCCTGGTGAGGTGGAGGGGCGAGGAGAGATGCGATCCTATGTGAAGCAAGGCTCCAAGCCCTTAGCACATGCTGTACGGTCCCATCAGGCTTTGCTTACACAACAAATTCAAAAGATGGAATCATTAAAGATTTTAAGTCAACAGTCACAGAGCATTAAACCCCAAGTGTGGGGCCTTTCTGAGTATGGGGTTCTGTGTGACTGACCTTAGGTGGTTCAATTGGAACCGTCACCAAAGCAGAACATGTGAGTCTCGTGTTATTTCCACTGTCAATACATCAATTCAAAAACAAATGTCATACCTTTGTAAAGAAGCATGTCATCTGGACACACAGAATGGCACAAAAAAGGGTGTGGGAGGGGGTTAGGCAAGCTAGCCATAGGTTAATTGTGGGTAACCCATAGGCCATGTGCAAACACTCTCTTGATCACTTGTGGAGTCCTTGCTGTGACCTGAAGGGTCCATGCTATTAACCCCATTTTACAGATGAGGAAACAGGTTTTGAACAATTGGATGGCACATTAAATATCACACAACTGATAAGTGCGGCATAAGGAACCCAGGCCACTGTATGCCAGCATACAAACAGCTAACCAGTTACCTAGTATGCTGGCATGTTAACCGAAGGGCTGCAAGCTGCTTTTGTTTTTCAGGTCATCTAGTTGGCTCCGACCTGCCAGGTGCCCAGGTGGCGGCAGCTGGCCATCTAGTTGGCTCTGACCTGCCTGGTGCCCAGGTGGCGGCAGCTGGTACTAAGGTGGCAGGAGAGATTGAGTGAGCTGCCAGCAAGGCACCTGTGACCAACAGAGGCTGGGCCATGAGAATTGCTACTTTGCAGTTATACCCTTCCCTCCCCCCAGGGAGTTTCGTGGATCCCAATTCTCCTGGAGGAGAAGGGAGGGAGAAGGAAGTGGGGCTTGTTCTCTAAACACTCTGTTCTTCGCACCAAACATTGTCCTTGGCTCAGCTTCCCTCCCAAAGGCTGAGTAATCTAGAAAAATTTCAGCCTTGTGAAAAATAAAAAGAAAAAAAAAAGGCAGGCCTAGGAGCCAACCCGTAACACGTCCGTAAGCGGAATTCTTGGCCTGCTCATTCTTGTAAGTTTGTAACTGTTTAGACTAGAGGACAAGAAGCAACAGATGCCTTGGGAGAATCAGACCAGCCAATGGCCAGAACCACAGTGGGAGTCTGGGCCCCCGTCCTTGGGTCCCTAATCTCAAATGAAATAACAAATGTCTCCCTCAATTGGCAATTGTCAATTCCTCCTTCTTTCTCCTCCCCAATACTTTCCCCCCAAGCCCTGTCTGGAACTGAGCTCTGGCCTGGCTATGTGAAGTAGACCAACTACACAGCTTTGTCGTGCCTCAGTTTCCCTGTCTCCAAATGGGGCAGTATTTGTTCCCCCCTCATGGTGTTGGTAGAGAGTTAAATGACTTAATACACGATGACATTTCTGTCAGTGCCTGGTGCATAAAACTCCGTAAACATGAGTTTTTGCTGATGCTGCCCGACACATTTCCAATTAAAAAACTGTCCTTTGGCTTAAGCCTTTGCTTTCAGAAATCATTTGGAAATGGACCCTTTTCTTTGTTTTTGTTTTAAGATTTTATTTATTTATTTATTTATTTTTTAGACAGGTGGGAAGGGAGGAAGAAGGAGACGGGAGAGAAACATCAATGTGTGGGTACCTCTTACACGCCTCCTACTGGGGACCTGGCCTGCAACCCAGGATGTGCCCTGTCTGGGAATTGAACCAGTGACCCTTAGGTTCACAGGTCTGCACTCAATCCACTGAGCCACACCAGCCAGGGCATGGACCCTTTCCTATTTGTGATTCATACTTTAGTGTTCATCAGCTTCAGGCACCTGATCTTCCTCAAGGTGGTGTGGTGACTGGAGGGAGAAGAAGACACCAGCCCCGAGACAGAGGCTCAGAGAAGGAGAGAGGGGAAGCAGGTACCAGGTAAAAGATGCACAAGAGTCTCTTAGTACATCATGGTGTGACCTGGAGCTGTCTCTGTCTTAGAGCCCACTGGGCCAGAATCGCTCATCCCTTCCTGCTGAGGTCCCTAACTAAGCTGGCAGCGCCCACAGGCTCACTCCTCCATGGCATGCCAGGCTGACCACGTGCTGCTCCTTTTGCCAGCTGTTAAAATGAAGTGCTTGGGATTTCAAGGTTGCAAATTCGGCTGGGGTCCAAGGCCAGCAGGTAACCCTATCCTCCTCTGGAACTTCTAATCTCTCATGTGTAAAACTAGATGAGAAAGATAAAAGCCTTCCCAGAATTTTGTGGCTGGAAGAGCACTAATGTACTCGCCTGTGGGGTCTTGCATTGGTTACACCCCCGCCCTACCTGACGCAATTATGACTTACGATGTCTCCATGGAGAACCTGGTCAGTGCGTTCTCTCAACCCCACATTTAGTGTCAGCCCAGCGCAGTCAAGTCCTCGGGCTCAAGAACTGTGTTGTGCCCAACGGTCACCACTAGCAGCATGGCCATTTCAATTCCAATTAGTCAAGATTCCTTAAAATTAAAAATTCAGTTTTTTAATAACCCAAACCACATTTCAAGTCCCTAGTGGCCACATGAGCTAGTGGCTGTCGTACTGGACTGCAGAGGTCACAGAAAGTTCTGGCAGAGACTCTGTCCTAGAGCAGCACTTACTAGCTGCATGACCTTGAGCAAATTACTGACCTCTCTGGGTCTCAGTTTGCTCATCTGCAAAATGGGAGTTAATCTAGTCAACAGCACATACTTAATTGAGTGTGCCAGGTACTCGTGTAGGTGCTGGGGGTAAGGCACTAAACAGCACAGGTAAATAAAGTCACGGCCCCCATGGAGCTGACCTTCTAAAGGAGGGACAAAGGCAACACTTATCTCCTAGGGTTAGTTTGAGAATTAAATGAAATAGAGCAGGGAAAGCATTTAACATGGTGTCTAGCACAATTTAATTGTTTAATAGATGTTAGCTGCTGTTATTACTAGTAATATGCCCAACTCCCTTCTCCCATTGCCCTACTACCTGCCATAGTAAACATGTAACACTTGTGCCCCCTCTTCCAATCCCATATCCATGACAGACATAGCTAATCAATTACAGCATGCTTTCCCACAGAGCCCAGAAGTACCTGTGAGATTCTAGGACCAGAGCAACAGGCAGCAGTCTCAGACACATTCTCTCAGAACTCATGATCACCCTCTTCCATGTTACCTCTGAGTTCCCCTGCTAACTGCCTGGCACCCACCATCCTGGATGCTGGGGCCCCCGGGTCCTGTGGAAGCTCAGACTCCAGGCCCAGGTCTGCCCCTCCTTAGGGGAAGAGCACGTGCCTGGTCAGTACCTTGTCAGTTGAGCAGCTGGTCCTGCTCTGACCTCGTGCCAGCAACTGGCTTCTTGCTCCGCGGCCTGTTGGAGCGGAGTCTGGTTGTATTCTCACCAGGGCTTCTGGAGTCTCGAATGCTGTCTCTCTCCGTTATTCAAGAAAAATGAGTTGTGTTGAGGCTGGGCAAACAAGTTCTGGCCAAAAAGGGCGGAGTGAAACCTAGCTGCGCATCTGAAGTGGGAGAGACGGACACGTGAAACGCAGTTGCAATACGGAGAGATAAGGGGCCGGGTGGAAGACGGCCCTTGGCTGTGGGCTCCCAGGGGAGGAAGGCACACTGCGTCCCTGGGAGTCCGCTTCACAGAGGGGAAGCCCATCCTGGGTACCTTCTCCACCATTGGCAGCCAGACCCTTCGGAAGGTCTGTCCTTCCCTTTCTCTCCCCTGCTGCGAGGATTGACTTGAATGGCCTGACTTGACTCAGCAGAGCTGTCCTCTCTCTGGATCTTGTATCATTTGATTTT